CCGTTGTCCGTTAACGGGCGCAATTGAATTACTCTCAGTCCTATTAGCTGGTCTTGAGAACTATGAGGTTATCATGAGATTGGGGCGGGAATACGCTCCACTTCGTCTGTACACAACAATTGTCGCCGTTAGACGTGACAATAACAGAAGTGTCGACGACGCTAAAGGCCAACACAGGAGCAGGAGCAGGAGCGGGAGCAGGAGCAGAAACACCTTTACTTTGTGTCTTGGAATTTGCACAGGTATTTCCCATTCCCGTTTCCTCAGCTGAGTTTAGAGACAGAAATAATTGTAGGACGAGCGGTCCTTAGCGAAACTTATTCTCAGGTACTTTCAGCTCACCTGGGCGCAAAGCATTTTCACAGTTCGCTCGCTGCAATTTTAACAATTTTATTAAATTGAATTTATATCATTTACACGCTTGTCGACTTCGAGTCTAACGCGGCGGCGCCTCCACTACGTGCCTATTAATTTCGCGCTTACATTTTATGTGGCATTTCGCAGGCTTTCCGACTCGGATGTGCACGTCCTTAACTTTTTCCTAGGCACACAGACGCTTTCGAAATTTCCGCTTTCATGGTTATTGATGCGGGTGAAATTTAATTGGTCGATTCAAGCCAAATATATCTGTCACTCTGCAGCACCGTCTCTCGGCCTGTCGGTCTGTCGGTCTGCTGTCCGTGGAGTGGATGGAGCGATGCGGATACCGCACTTTGACCATTGTACATTTGACTGTCTGGTTATTAGATCAAATTCAAGTCTGATTAGCGTTGCGCATCTTTTGAAGAATTTTTGTAGATTGCCATAAACTCACTTCATTGATTATTTTTCTGTTGAAGCCAGCTGCCTTTATACTAAAATAAATAGATATTCTCTTAATCAAGAATAATTTCTTTTGTAGACATATGATCTTAATGAAACTTTCGGAGCGTAATCATATGGTTAATATGTGTGTACATTTCAAAGCACAAGTCTCTAGTACTTGAAATGGGTTTTTCGTTGAAGAAGGGGGCGTGGCATCCAAAATCTGTAAATTACAAAATTTTCGTATCCATTAACTTTATATACAACGCAAATCTCGTAGTGGAGCAGTCTCAGCTAGAACTTTCTTTCTTGTTATACCCTGAACCCATTGAAAATGGGAAATCATGGTATAATGATTTTGTGAAAAGTATGTAACAGGCAGAAAGAATCATCGCAGACCCTATAAAGTATATATATTCTTGATCAGGGTAACGAGCTGAGTTGATTTAGAGCCCTGTCCATCTGTCCGCTCGTATGAAAGCCTAGATCTCAGAAGTTATAAAATCTAGAGACTGAAATTTGGCATGCATACTCGTGTATACCATACGCGTACAAGTCAATCTTGTTTTTTCGATAACTCATCCGATATCGTTTTTCTAGAGAATAATCTATAAATTTATTTCGATTTTTCAACCTAATTTGAACACTATTAGACCTGGGGACTTCAGATTTAATGTGTATATACATTTGATGAATACGAAGATTTTGTAATTTACAGATTTTGGATACCATGATCCCGTCACCACCAATTTGTAAAAAAAACACATTTCCAGTACTAGAGACATGGGAATTTTAACCCCACAGACCCACTACAAGAGAAATTATTCATCAAATTAGTTCTTATACTATTGTCCACACTGCAGCGCATCCCAAGCACAGTCGCCCAGTTAGCAGAGCGCGGGCTTATGCATGTGTGTGGATGCATGTGTATATATGTGTGCATAAAAGAAGCACAGAACGATTAGGATATCAGGTTGGAGGGTTAGGATAACATCTAGTCGAGCAGTCTTGCTTGTTTAAAAATGTCAATAGAATCCTTTTTCAGTCCATCTATCTTTTGCTTGATTTAGATTGATTTTTGTGTAGAATAAAAATATGTATCTATTCAGACTGAGAACAGAAGGTTTATTCAGTAGAACAGAGACTGCCTATTGTGGGAGGGCAAACTTTAAGCGAACTGCCACGAGTGCCAGTGCTTCAAATTTGTTTAAATAAAAAAAGTTTTCTTATTTCACGCTAAGCGAAAAAGGAGTAAAACCCAAACAGTAGTCAAACAAATAAGTAAAGGGAAACTTTGACGCCGATACAATTTCGTAAAATGTCGAAAACTGTGATTGCACTGCCTCGCCCGAGCCTCGCACCGCCGCCGCAGCTCGAATGGCTGTGAATAAGACTTTCCCAGCGAGCAACTTTGAGTAAAATGTAAATACTTTTTCGGGCAAATATTATTACAATTCCAAGCGGCTGATGCCAGAGATACTAAGTAAACCGTGCGGCGAACAGTGAGCGAGAAGTCGACGGAAATGCTTAAAATCACAATCGCAAGACTTGAATCGGCTTAGAGGGGCTGGGTGAGTATCAATATAATCTCAATATAATGTGCTGATACTCCATTATAGTCATACAGGGCTTAATCTTTGCCAAGTATTTAGTCGCTGTGACTTGTGCAGCATAATTAAAGTGCCCATTCGATTAGCCGGAACAGCGTTGCATAATCATCTAAAGCTCCGCGCGCTGCACACGGCCCACATAAAAATTCATTGGCCAAATATTTCGCACACGCCGCGTGACGCTCGACAAACTGCAATGCGATAAACTTGAAGTGTCTGCAATGACGACAACGATAATGGTGGCAACGAGAATGACCACATGGCCATTGGTCGGCACCGGCAATGACTAGAACATGCCCGGCACGGACATCGATTACCAATTTGAGGGCCGGCTGCAGATGCGGCGCTTGGCTTTGGTCTCCGGGCAGCCGAGCAGCTGGGCAGCCGGGCAGCCGGGCTGTCGAGATGCCATATTGCGGCTGTCAGTGGTAGCGCCGGGCCATATTAATCTGGTTAATGATGAAACTGAATCAGCATTTTAAACGAGCCACTGCACAATGAAGTGTCCGCCAGGATGCTTCTCTCTGCTGTGTCGCATAGACGGCCGAGCCTGCAAATAAATTAGCTGTGGCTTCACCTCCCCCCCGACCGCTGGCAATAAAGCTGGGTAAATTTCCCTTCTGCTGGCCTTACTAAGCTTTAACGTAACTCTATCCTCTTGGCCCATAAAACACAGCGATTCGCGCAGCCTTTAGTCCCTTCGCAACATGGTCACTATTGAGACTTATGATACATATGATGATGTCCATGGCGTATCTTCACTTGCACTCAGGGCTTATTCCAATGAACACGCTTACCGTACAAAGCATGCGAATACATATTTACTCCACTGATACCTATGTTGGATGAATCGTTTCCATAGGCAATGCGCATTGACAAAGGCAACAATTAAAATAAAACTGATTGAATATTCCATTTTCAACAATCTATCCTTACATTCCATGTTATGCTTACACTCCCATGTTGGGTTTAATAAAGTCGAGAAACTTAAAACCCACGATCATTTACTGATCTCGACGCCTCCACTCCAACATTGATAACACTTTATGGCTTAATGCCCTCCACACTAAATTGTATTGATAATAATTAAGGTCCCACTTTACAATAAAATATGTGAAATATCCAAGAATAAGTAGTTGCAGAAAACGAAAGTAAACGTCTCCAGTAGGCGCTGGTAAACTACTCTCAATAGGTTCGACTCCAATATTATGATAGCTTTATTAATTCTTTGAGGCGCCATGCTCAAATCAAAATATTACTTCTGCTACTCCAGAAAGAAAGATCCATAAAGCAACGCGAAATAATAATCTATTGCTCATTCATAAATTTATTACTTTATATTATAAAATGTAAATGTAAAATATGCTTGCTGCTGTTCTTAGGCTTATTCATTTCATTACTATGGTTACTCATATCGATATTCAAAGAGACAGAAATTATGTGGAATATCGATTAGTATAGGGCTGCTAAATTATTTAACATTAGAAAGTAATGATCTCCTAACAAAAGTCTTCTTAAATAAAAACCACGGGCTGACAACTGAAACTTTGTTGTTCAATTCTGAGTTGCTAGTAAAGAAAATCAAACCACTTTTTGATTTGTTAATGTTGTGTAGAGGTTATCAACAGGGGATCTAGCTTTAACATTGTAAAAGACTTATCCGATTTGCCTTTCCTTCAAAAGGTATTTGAGTTGTAATTTTTATACCCTGAACCTATTGAAAATGGGAAATCAGGGTATAATGGTTTTGTTGAAGTATATGTAACAGGCAGGAGAAGACGTGACACACCCCATAAACTGTATATATTCTAGATCAGGGTGACGAGCTGAGTCGATTTGTCCCTGTCCGTCTAACTGTATGTCCGTCTGGTCGTATGTTTGTACGCATCTATCTCAGAAGATATAAGAGTTAGAGACATCCAATTTTTTATTCAAATATCCGTAAGTATATCGCCGATATCGAGTTTATCTCCAAAAATTGATAACTCTTCCCGTTTTTTTTTTTATAAATTAAAAACATCGAAAATAAGCTATTTAATTATACCTCCGATATCTTTAAAGCTAAAGTCGCCAAATTGGATATGTAAATTCATATGTATTTTATGGAATTCAGATATTTGTTATAATTCACCCCCTCACCCACACCTTTGTAAAAGACGTATTTAAAATACTAGAGATTTGTGTTTTGCACATACACGCACTTCAATGTTATAATGACGATCTGAAAGTACATCCACAAGTAATACATAAGAAATATCGAAAGATCTGAACTTTCACATTTCAAGTCAATAGCTTCATAGAAAAACGGATATTGCAGAAAGCCTCAATAGTCTTTCCTATTCATGAGGATTACAAATGATTTAAAGATTTTTCCATAATTTGCAAATATCCTACATAGTAATGCCTTGCTCTAGTTTTTGCCTTTTTGTAAATTCAACATGGAATTTCATGTAGGTCTTTAAAGCAAACAGATTTTTGGGTTTTATATGTATGTATGAAATTGCGCCCTTTCCATGCACAGAAAAATTGCTCAATTATTCAAACGAATTTCACGCATTTAATTGTGTAAATTTAGCCAGGCATGACATGCACGCCGGCTGGTCACCCCAATTGGGAGCCCTGCTCAGCTCAGCTCCTCCGGCGGCCAGGCGTGCGCACGGCCACTGGACATTGCGAACGGGAGAGGGCGGGGAGGGTGCTCTGGCTAACGGTACGTAACGTCATAATCACCCCGAAGCGCACGTAATTGGCCAATCAATTGTGTCATTGTTCGCATTTATAACGCGGCCTACGCCGTGATTTATGCGGCGATGTGGGGAATACTGGAACTGAAGTCCAGACGGAACGTTGAGTTGTGTTGTTGTAAGTGTTAGGCCTAGCTGGAAGCTAGCGTGGGAGTTACGTGGAGTTACGGAAATGCATGAGCCGCTGGAGATCTTGAACAACAGAAGTTTTTATGCTGTTGCGGGTCTGTTTTCTGCTCTTCTTCTTCTTYTTTACTTTTGGCTGCAACTTTGTAACAAATGCACAGAAAGCATGACAACTACTGCTTCCGCTGGGCTGTGGGCAATGTGAGGCGGGTGTTGCCAGCACCACTGCCGGCTGTCACATCGAAAAATTACATGCCTAGCGCAAAAGTTTTGCCTCTTCATTATTCGAACATCAAGTCGAGCTGGAGCGGCAAGTCGACACGAGTTGCGGTTTGCAATTTTTCTTTGGCTTTCCCCGGGCCGCCCAATCCCTGCCTGCATTTCGCCACAGCCAGACAAAGTGTGAAACGAGGCAAAAAACTTCTCGAGCCGCACATTCCGGGCGTCTCAGACAGCCAAGGCGTGCCAAAAAATTATACACTGCATTTTAATCACAATTCAAATCAACGAAATCATCGTCGTTATTCCAGCAGAAGAGGAAGCAGCAGCAGCAGGAGCAGCAGCAGCTGTCGCAGCGAGTTAAAACACGTCGCCTGTATGTGAAAAATGGAAAAATGCCACTTGGGCAAAACTTTTCTTCACTTTTCCCACGTAAACGCGATGCCGCTGTTGCTCCTCATTAACTTGCTGAGCGCCAGTCGATTGCAGAGCGAGAAAGGGCCTCCCTCTAAGATGGAGCAATGTTTGATTTCCTTTTCCATCTGCTCCCAGCTTATTTATTTGTCAAACTGACGATCAAGAGATCTATCTCCCATTTCTTCAACTTCCATAGACAAAGTAATCAATGCAATTCTTATTTTCTCTTATATTCTTATATTTTAAATTTTAACTAATATAGGATTAGTCTATGTTAATATGTCTATGTTAGTATATTGTTATCGTATATTGTTTCGTTTGAATCTAAAATAGTATTTTTGAAACACAAAGGGGACATTTTTATGCATACAGCCCGATGTCAATAGTAGCACTTGTCTGATACAGAGGTGTACGAGTATGGAATGGAATGGCAGTGTCGATCTGCTGTAATAATTTTGCTTAATGGTCGTAGCTTTTCACTCTGCACAGGTAAGTACCTATCATCGTAATTAAATTGCGCTGGTAAAGTTTACCTTGTAGTTTGCTCACTCCAGGCGCAGTTCGCTGCAGCCCAGCGATGGAAATATGATAAATTGCGGCTCTTAGAGGCGGCTGCAGTATCCCAGTAGCCAGGCAGCCCAGTAGCCTGGCAGCCCAGTAGCTTCGCAGCAGACGGGCAACATTTGCCGGCACATAAATTCAAAAAGAGCCGCTATTGCTGCTAACCAAATCTTAATTATAAATCTAAGGAAGCACTTGGAAAAAATTACCGCAAGCGCAGTGCGGTGAGCTGCGACCGAAGTTGCAGAGGAAGACAAAAAAAGAGAGAAATAGAGAGAAGCGAGTACAAAATGAAATGATGATTTAATAGAATGGTCTGCGGGCACCGCCAGCTGGTTGGCTGAGCCGAATGAATGGGCAAGACGAGCCAGCGGAAATAACTCCATAAGCTGCTGCAACCATAAACCGGAAGTTAACAGACTTTTGCTGATGTGGCAGTTTTCGTGCTGCTGCCTCTGCAGCTGGGCAAGGGGCAAGGGGCAACCGGCAAGGGGCAAGAGGGAAGTGGCAGTATGGGACACGGGCGAAGGACACCCGGCCAGGGACACAGACACCGACACGGACACGGCGGGCAGTCTGCGAAATTGTGACAGCGCATGGCCGCAGGATAATCAAATAATTTTTTTTCAATTTTTTTTTTTTTTTTTTTTTTGCTTGTCGTCTTGCCGCCTCTCTCACAATTGCAGGCATCTTTTTTGTGGCTTCATTCTGAAGGCTCCCGCTGTGTGGCACTGGCTGGCTGGCTGGCCGGCTGGCTCGTTAAATTATTGTGCAACATTGCCACAAAATGCTAATTGCCGCACGATACGATCAAGGCACCGCACAGGCGTACAGTCATGGTGCCCCTCGGCCCGTTGTTCAGGAGAAAACTTTTTCAAATTGCAGCCGTCAATGAATTTTGCTTTGCTATTGACAGTTTCATTTTCTACTTCTGCAGACGCCCGACTCTCTGTCCGTCTTATCGCAATGTGTCAAGCTATGCTACATTTTACTTGCACTTGCCCAATAAATCACACGAATTCGTGACGACCCAAAGATTTATCGAAAAACTTGTGCTTAACTCGCTCAGTTATCTTGCAGTACGTTAATAACGATATTTTTCGTTTCGCACTCCATCCTGAAAGCCCCTTCAATTTTATTATGCTCTCATAAATTGTTGCTGCAATTTTCCGGCTATTAAAATGTTCACGCCATTTTCATGGCGCATAAGCGAGCAATTGTTTGCTCAATTTCATTTCACGCTTAAAAAGTTATAAAGCCAATACTCTATGAAAAAAGGAATTATTATAGTTGCATTGTTCAGGATTTTAAGTATTGTGTTTAAGTTTCAGCCCAATAAAGTTAAAATCGCATATTAAAAGTTCAATAATCAGAAAACAAATAAAGGATTACCGTCTCATAATACAGCAGAAAGTCAGTAAACGCTGAGTTTATTTATTTATTCAAAATCATTTTGAAAGAGAATGAAAGTAAGGGTTACCTGGCTAGCTCTTTCCGATGAGGAAATACTCTGAACTCCGCCAGCAGGTGATGCTTAAATCCTTCTGCTTTCCTTTTATAAGTATCCGAATAATCATAATCATTATATTGAAATATTTAAGCAAATTGTCGATTTGTTTGATTATAACGAAATTCGATCAATTATTTACAAAAAATGAAAACCTACTAAAGGAGATTTAAAATTCCAAGCCTCTATCATTCGTAACACAAACTTTTGTAAAATCTGTCTTTGACCAAGTCTGATGTCATGAGGCGCTAAGACATCTGACCTTGTAGGCCATAGATAAGCTTGGCTAAATTGACTATATATTATAGACAATTTGATTGTATTAGTTTTCGATCATTAACATCAAGAGACTGTTTTCTGTTACTATTATAATCTTGTTATAACTTTCGCATTCTCCAATTAAGTACTAACAATTCTCTCATTAGTACTTGTTTACATGATTGGCTAATGATCTATGGCATCACATTTGGATTGGCATTGGTCATTAATGCCATAATTACAAATAAAAATAGAAAATAGATCGGATCTGATTTGAGTGGCATCATTGCCAAGCTCACAATCAAATATAGGAGTTGTAACTATTCTGGTACAACAGAGCTGAAAATGGTCCGAGTACCTAGAGCTGTAATACTTACAGTTATAGTAGTCGCTTTTGGCCAACTTGCTGTCGGCCGTAGGGTAAGCTCGAACGAGTTTGATTTCGATTTATATCTGATTAATGTGTGCCAAAGGCCTTCAACTCGTTGCACTTTCGCAGGGTCTTCACCACGTTTGAGTGCAAGTACGTCTCAAGTTACGAAGCGCGCATTAGTCAAGATCAGCTGAAAATGAACACTACGTTGGACTTGATTCAGGCAATCACGGTGGACGTTTGGGCGAAGGTCAGCGTGGGGCAAAGAGAAGCCAAGAACGGCTACCGCAATATATTCTCGTACAACGTGAACATCTGCAGCTTGATTGGGAAGGGCAAAGGCATGGGTATCTTCCAGATTTGGGTGCAGAACATCTTGAAGTACTCGAACATGCCGCGAGCCTGCCCCATTGCAGAGGTGAGTGGTCGATCCTTAGGGCTACTGGTCAGTCGAGTCAATTGAGTGCTTCCAGGGCCACTATTACTGGAGGAATCTGCGACCCGACAGGGACAGCATACCCGCCTTCCTGATGACGGGAAACTTTCGCATTGATGTCCTGTTCTATATGCGAGACTGGAGCAACGATATGCTAACGAACACCACAGTGTTTGTCGATATTAAAATGAAATGAAAAGCCACGCAGACGTGTCGTCCACCTAATTGGCCGTAGTTGAGTCTCATGAATCCTTTATAGCCCGAAACTTGACGCCTCTATGCGATCGCTAACACAATTTTTCACTTCCGATTGAGCAAATCGTAGCACGTGCACCTCGCATAAATAAATTAATGAGCCTCAACCTGGCTGGCTCTGGCTGGATTTGTTCGCACGCGACACACGCTCGCGCTCCTACGGACTCGGACTCAGACACGGTCGCGGACATGGACGCGGACCGGGACAGGGAGACGGACGCGGACATGGACACGTAGAAGGACATGGACACGCAATCGAATGGCGGACAAGCGCAGCAGCTGTTGGCACTCCTGCAATTTATGCGAACGGCAAACTAAGCGCAAAATAATTTAAACACTGACAATAACAGTTGGCCAAAGTATTTCCCTTAACAACTCGACAAGTATACCCGATTCACGGGCTCGCGCACCCACGACTCTGCAGTCAGCCGCCTGCAGCCTGCATCGGGCAGCAGGACTCGCAGACTCCACGACTCCTGCACTCGACACGTTCGCACGCGCTGGTAAGTACGAAGCGTTTTTAGTAGCTTCTTTTGCTTTGGCGCGCCCTCATTTCCCCGGCTCTGTTGGCTCGTTTCGCACTATCATTGCACTTCCGCACAAAATCAAGGCAGAATCAAAGCATCATTTCTTGTATTTGTCGCCATCGACAAATGCTGGCAGCATCGAGGACCTCAGCGAGTGCAGTGCAGTGAGTGCAGAGCCCGGGCTCTCATCCGAGCGTCTTTGAGACAAATAATGTCGGCAGTGGCAGCGGGTACTCAAGGAAATTGCCATCATTATTGTTGTCGTGCTTTGTGCCAGTGCTAAATAACGTTTAGCGTTTGTTTGCCGTGAAATTGATTTGCACTGCGAAACGCTCTCTGCTCTTCTCCCATACTTGAGCTGTGAAAGCATCACACGTTTATATTAATAAATTGCTTAAGTATTAGTAACATATAAAGAGCAAAATTTACATGCAACTCAATATATATTCGGAAAGATACACTCTCCACAATCCATAGTCGCCTGTAGACTAATATTTGGCTAGATTTAATTGTGAGGAACGATATATATCTGCATCGTTGTCAATCTCCTTCTCAAGACTCGGCGCAAATTGAAAATTAAGCATATTGCGAGCCATAGTAGACCAATTATTTGCCGCAGCAGGCATTGAACTAATTGAACAAAGCTCACCTAAATCACTCATTAGCACTGGTCGAGCGGGCAGCTGGGATGGCCGCGGGCACTGTCAAGGAGAAGTCATCATTACACATGCTATAATTATTCCAGCGGGAATCATTCACACGCTCACCCACACACACACCGAGCCTAAAGCGAATCGCTGTGAAAATTATGGCCAAGCGGACCGCCTGGTGTGAGGCAGTGACAAATGCAGGTGGGCGGCAATTAGGAAGCGATAAGGTAAAAAGTACACACGCAATTGAGACGGGACGGGCGGAAGCAGCCAGGACAAGAAAAGAAGGAAAATGCAGCAAAGGAAACCGTTGGCAGGAGCACAGCAGCTGGAGCAGCTCCTTGTGCTGCATGCGACAGCTGCCAAGCGAAGGAGACGAGGAGCACGAGGCTGCTGACATCGAGGACATTGTAGCTAAATTGAATGTTTTATTTTCGATTTCTTTTCGTTCGCATTTTGCTGCTGGTGCTGATGCTGGTGCTGTCGATAATCAACGGCGCTGCGTGCCACATGTTGCAGCCGTGTACAGGATATTATTATCCACATGCAGCTTGGCTGGCAATAAGAGAGGACGACCCGCCGTAGATGTCGCACGTTCGCCGATTTATTGTCAGCTATGTTAGCTCAGTTATACAGAACGGAATCTATGGTAATGGCGAGCACTCGGATCTCGGTTTTGGTCTTGTACTTTCCGTAGAACAAGTAGACCTTGCCCCGGTACTCGCCGGGGTGCAGAAACTGGTGCGTCAGGCTGGAGCCCATCTCCCAGTCACGCAGGTAGTAGGTGCCCACCTGCACCGGGCAGTTGAGCATGAAGTTGCTCTTCTCCGTCATGCTCTTGAACCAGCTCTTGAATATCCCACCTTTGACGCTATTCACCGTAGCACAGACGTCGACATGATGACTGAAGATGGTTTGGAACATTCTGGCATTCGGCATGCGCAGCTGGTAGTCGATGTGGGCCTTGAAGCCGCGCTGAATGGGCTGCAAAAGCTCCATTGTCATGTTCAGGGTCCTATTCGAAACACAAATCGAGAAGCTCTTAAAATATTTCGGATTGTAAGTGCTGTTGCTGGACACAAACTCCACGCGGCGCTCCTGCAGAGCAACACAAAGTTCAGATACGTTAAAGGCCGCTACAGCCGGGTATAGCAGACTCACCGCTTGGCTGGGAGGCACATTAGCGCATAGTGTGAATCCAATTATCAAAATAGTCGGGCAGCAATAATTGCGCCACGAAAACATTGCGACACGTACCAATCGACCTATTTCCGACAATTTTAAATTCCACTGATATAATTTAGTTTTTCGCTCATAGACTTAAATATTCCAAAAATCAATTAGACTCACTGGCCTAATTGTTGGAATAATTATAAATTCGATTTCTTATCTTTTTATCCGCGACCTTTGCTTCATTACCATCACGGATGAATGCACCGAAGCTGAGAATATTTCTACATACATATTCCTAACCTAACATATTCCTAGACATGTAGTTGAATACATAGTCGAATATATAGTAGGAAATAAAAATTATTGCAGCAAGATTAAAGAGAATATAGATTTGGGAGTATTTTATAGAATTTCGATTATTATACCCTGAACCTAGTTTTTTGTTATATTTTCTTCAAGTATTTGAACAAAGTATTTTTCCTAAGTATTTTATCTAAATATTTCCCTTAAGTATTTACTCTAAGTAAATATTTCCTCTTCTAATTAGTATATCTTCTAGGTATTTCTTTAAGGTACTACCACCAAGTATTTCCCCTAAGTTTTGCCTGTAAGTATTTCTGCTTACCTGAACGATCACACACTTCACTTCACTTTACTGCACTGCATGTCTGACCCCCACCAGGATTGGACGACTGAAAGAATGCTGGTGCGCGTTATTTGGGGTGACTTGCACTCAGACCCTAAGTCGCGCTCAAATGTTGAGCCCGGCCCCAGGTAGGCGTCGTTGCAGTTGAGCTTAAKTGACCCATGGGAACACTCTCTGCTGCAAGCATTCTGGCTTCGTTTTTCTTAAATATAAATGCTAAATGAAAGTACTCAATACTGTCTATATGAATTAGTTGATCTTCTGTAGCTCATCGTCCCTTGCGTTTCTTCTGCAGACATATAGACAGGCGAACAAACAAACACATATAGTTAAATCGGCTTACCTCATTACGCTGCTCAAGAATATTTATTTATTTATTTATTTTTTTTTTTTTTTATATGCTATATATTCATATGCTAAGTATCTTTGGTACATTATTCGTTTTAATTATGTTCAAATGTTCTCTTCAGGACTACTAGTCCTGGCCTAGGATTTTTACATAGTCTGCCTTTATTTCAAGCTTTTCTATCCCATACTCATTTTTAAAGGATGTATTATCAATAAGCTAGGCTACTTTCAAATAGGCTAGATCTACTCCTTGTGCTATTTTCTCTTGCAATTAGAAAAAATGTGAAGAATTATTGAAATATTAGGGGATCTCGTAACAGACCAGCCTCAACTAGAGACCTCTTCCTTTTTTTTTTTTTTAGCTACTTGGCCTTTAATGATGCATATACAATGATGTCTAAGACAGTTTCCTCGAACTTGGACTTGAGTTTGCCATAGAAAAAGTGGCCGGTGACGCGATAGCTGCCGGCACTCAAATACTGGGGCACCAGCTTGGGGTCCAGCTTCCAATTGCGCAGATAATAATGATCGGGGGGCACTGGGCAGTGGTATATGAAGTTGCCGTGAGCCAACATGCTCTGGAACCAGGCCTTAAAAATGTTCTTCTTCAAGGCCATTGTAACTGCACAGGCATCCATGGTGTGGGCGAACACACGTTGGTAACGATCTGTTTTGCCCATTTTAATGGAGAAGTCGACGTGAACATTAAAGCCGCGATCAAAACTCCTCTTGGTGACCATTTCCAGATTGACCGTGTTGTTGACGGTGCGTATGGTGAAGTTATCGAAGAACTTGGGATTGAACTTGCACTCCCCAGATTGGAAGAACACGCTGGACTGTAATGGACGAATATATGCAGCTGAAGGACTTTAGCTTTTAAGCAGAACTCACGCCTTTGCTAACCTGCACTATGCAGACGCAAGTCAATAAAAGAATGCCTATAGTACACTCTGTCAACACTTTCATCACGACGCCAATACTCAAATAACTTTCAACTGCTGCGCTTCAACTGGCGGCTATCTGTTTTACTAAGCTATATTTAATAGGCAGGTGATCATTAACAGTTGACGACCAAATGTTTCTACTCATTCCAGACATGAAGAGAGCTTATTGATTTTTACTAGGCTTTGCTACATGAACCACTAATGATTAGAATTGGTATTCGTTATTCATCCAAAATAGACTACATGTATATGAATCGGTGTCTATACAATATAATATTATTGTATAATTTATAAAGCGAAGGCGAGATAAATTCGAATATCCGAATACTCGATATTATGTTAATTGAAGGCACAGGAGTGGAACGTTCTCAATAGATTTAGTTGGTCTCGATTTTATTTGATCTGGACTTCCATATCGCAGTCAATTACAAAATCTCTTGCCTTAGCTTGACTATAAATTTGAACTTCATTCAATGTTAAGCGAGAACAGAGAACAGGAAAGTCGGAACGTCGAGTTCAATAATATTAAAGCCTTTCGTATAGCAATGAACTGGACAATGTTTCTGGAAGTTGCCATGTTGAAAGATATTCGAAAATACCTTTTTTTTTATACCCTGAACCCATTTTCAATGGGAAATCAGGGTATAATGGTTTTGTTGAAATGTATGTAACAGGGAGAAGGAGGCGTGGCAGACCCCACAAAGTATATATATTCTTGATCAGGGTGACGAGCTGAGTTGATTTGGCCCTGTCCGTCTGTCTGTCCGTCTGTCCGTCTGTCCGTCTGTCCGTCTGTCCGTNTTATATGCAATTTATACAATTTCGGTTTTTGTTAAAATTTACCCCCCACCCTTAAATTCACCCCCTCACCCTCACTTTTGTAAAAAGCGTATTTCAAATACTAGAGACTTGTGCTTTGGCAATTACATGCATATCCATGTTATAATCATAATCTGAAAGTTTCATGAAGATCGTACGTCCATAAAAAAAGTTATTAAACAATTAAGTTCTCATAGTAAGCGCACACTGCAGCCCATGCGTGTTTATGCGTGGGTGCTTGTGTGTGTATGTGTTTGTGTATGTGTGTGTATGTGTTTGTGTATGTGTGTGTGTATGTGTATGTGTGTGTGTATGCGTTTGTGTATGTATGCGTGTGTGTGTGTGTATGTGTGTCTGTATGCGTGTGTGTGTATGTATGCCTGTGTGTGTGTGTGTGCGTGTTTCTTGTGTAAGCTGAAAGACGCGAAAAATTATTGAAATATCTATTGCTCCAAGGGTTCAGGGGATCTCGTAGTCGAGCAGTCTCGACTAGAGCTTTCTTACTTGTTTTAAATGGCACACGTCTAAAGAGTTCTGATAGAAGTTCGAAAAGCTTTTTGTTTGCGAGTTGCGTGAGAAGAAATCCAGATTCAAGCTCAATCCTGGAAGCAAGGCTTTAATTAAGTCAAAGTCAACACTTAGTTTGTTTCTTTGATTCACCACAGATACGTTTGCAAAGAAGTTCCGATTCTATTTGTTGCACTTGGGAGCTTTCATGACGAGAAATGTTGATTTCTAAAAATAATGTAGATATTTCCATAAAAAAAAGATATGTGGAATACATAATAATAAAATAATAATACCGTATTTGCCAAGGAAATTTACTAAATGCAATCATTGAACTGTCGAAAACAAAGATCGATAAGGGAATAATTGCAATTATAATAATAATAAATCATTTAACGGTAAAAACCCGAAAAAATTTTTCTATATTAGATATCCTAGCAAGCAAATTTATTGGCAAAATGGGAAATCATTCTATAATGGTTTTGTTAAAGTGTAGCAAGCAGAGGGAACCGTGGCAGACCCCATAAAGTACGTATATGATGGGACGACGCAATGAGTCCACTATAATCTATATATGGATATATACATATATCTTTTGGAGATAGTTTCAACATCACACACTGAACTTTATTTTAATTTAAGTAGTTTTTATTTTATTTTCAAAATATTCTTAAATGTTAGCTTTTGTAAATAGCTGGAACGGAGTTCAAATTAACACCAAATCGGGCACCTTCGAGTAAAGCTTGCTGAGTTTCTCTAATTTTATTTGATTTCGACCTCTACTTCGCAGCTAAAAATATGATCCTTTTTCTTACTTTGGGCAGTGTTTTGAGTCATCTGAAATTCCAAACGGAAAAGACCAGCGAAAAGGAATGGCGGAATTTCGAGCTCACTGATCCTATAGTTTTTCAAATAGTAATAATTTGGGGGAACTGGACACGATCTTTGAAAGTTTCCATAATTGTAAAAGGTGGAGAACCACCTCTTGAAGATATTGTTTTTCCGCGTGGACAACATATTGCACAAATCCAGGGAGTATTCATAAAAATGTGTGAAGGATGATGACCGTATCCTGCGTGTGGAAAAGTCCATGCTTAAGCGTAATCCTGATTGAAGTTGTTTGATCAAGTCTATATCAGCGTTCAATTTAGTGTCGTGATAGTCCACAGAAAAGTTTCGTAGGTAGTTTCGATTATATTTGTCACATACGGGAGATTTTGCAACTATAAGTCTCAACTTCTGAAAATAAAATACACTGACATTTTGAAAATAATGTAATTTTTCTCATGTTGCTTACCATGTTTGCGTACGGAACGAGACTTAAAATAATTATAAGCACAGTCAAAAAATTCATATTTTATGCTTCCTCTCTGTTCCAAGATACTTTTAATATAAACAAATGGGCTAACTTTAAACTGTGTGTGGAGCAATTTAGTCGCCCAGTCTGTGGGATAATTGTGTGTAGTTAAAATAATAGCCACGACTGCGAAATCAAGCAAGGCAACATTATGTGGAACTCCTAACGTGCATATACTCTGAGCACAATTACACATGAACGAAACGTACGTCTGTCAGGAATTGAGGTTGAGTCTCCCCAGGGTCGCTAGAACCAACTGTTGAGATGCATTAAATAATTTTACCATGCGTAAACTAAGCTATATTAATAACTTAACTGGCTTTAACTGGCTCAGCATATGAAGTTTTAAAGAAAGATATGAATTGCTTCTTGAATTGACTTATCGGAGTGGAGCATTAACAAAAAGAAGGGTATCTTAAATAAGTATAAGCAGAAACTGAATTCTAGTTTTAAAGCTGTAAAGTTTTAATGGACTGATTGTGTATAATTATTTTGAACGATTTAGTCGTTGATAAATCAATTTTACACTAAATTTATATACTATACAGTTCAATTAAAATTTTGTTGGTCATTGAGCATGAAAAACAATATAAAATATTATTTATCAGCTGAGTTACTTAAGAGATTTAGATAAAAACACGAATAAATTATGACTTCATCCGACTCTTGCCTTTATTATTATTTTCCGAATATCTCAATAATAGTAATAATGCATGGAAACAAAGGATAGTTTATATAATAATTAGTTCGATTCAATTAGATTAATTTATATAAATTTGCAATAATATATACATATCTATAGATTGCGAATAAAGCAAAATATTTTTGTGGAAGAACAAGTTCAATTAATGTATCTAAACACAAACTCAAATTTCGTATGAGATATAGGTATATAAGTCATACTTCTGATTATTAATACTCATTAAGTATATGTGTAGACGAACTATGACTTTCTTACGTACTACTCATAAATGCTATGCGAAGGTTTTGTGAGAAACAAGTAAGAAAGCTCCAGTCGAGACTGCTCGACTGCGAAATACCCTGAACCCTCCAAACTGATATTCTAATCATTCTGGACTTCTTTTATGCACACATACATTCACATGCACTTATATGCACGCGCTCTGCTAACTGCACAGTAAGCAACGACTTCGCTTGGGCTGTGCTGCAGTGTGGGCAATATTATGAGAATTTATTTGTTATAATTATACCCTGAACCCATTTTCAATGGGAAATCAGAGTATAATGGTTTTGTTGAAATGTATGTAACAGGGAGAAGGAGGCGTGGCAGACCCCACAAAGTAGATATATTCTGAGCTGAGTTGATTTGGCCCTGTCCGTCTGTCTGTCTGTCCGTCTATCCGTCTGTCTGTATGTTTGAACGCGTCAATTTCCGAAGATATATGAGCTAGAGACTTCAAATTTGTTTAAAAATGTCCGTAATTACAGCGCGGATATCAAGTTTATCATTAAAAATCGATAACTCATCCCGATCTTTTTTTTATCAATAAGAAACCTTATCGAAAACCAGTTATACAATTATATCTTCTACACCTTTATTGCTAGAGTCTCCAAATTTTTAATGTATGCTTATATGCAATATGTATGTCTGTGTGTGCGTACGTGCTCGTGTGTGTGTGTGTGCGTGTTTCTTGTGTTAGCTGAAAGACGCGAAAAATTATTGAAATATCTATTGCTCCAAGGGTTCAGGGGATCTCGTAGTCGAGCAGTCTCGACTATAGTTTTCTTACTTATTTTATTTTCTTTTCTTTTTAAGTTCAAGTATTAGCATAATTAATGAAAAAAGNACTAGAGACTTGTGCTTTGGAATATACACACATTTTAGCCATATGATTACGCCCTGAAAGTTTTATTAAGATCGTATGTCTACAAAAGAAATTATTCAACAAAGAAATTCTCATAATATTGCTCACACTGCAGCGCAGCCCAAGCGCAGCCGCTGCTTACTGCGCAGTTAGCAGAGCGCGTACATATAAGTGCATGTGTATGTATGTGTGCATAAAAGAAGTCCAGAATGATTAGAATATTAACTTTGAGGGTTCAGGGTATCTCCTAGTCGAGCTGTCTCGACTGGAGCCTTCTTACTTGTTTTATATTTTTTTCTTTTTAAGTTCAAGTATTAGCATAATTCATGAAAAAAGTTCCCTATTTATAATTGTATCAATCAAGTTTTAAAATGTAGAAAGAGGTTCTAGCTAAATGAAATGCAGCATTTAACAGCAAAATAATTCATGTAGATACAAACTTATTTTCATCAATTACTTGCACATCTTTTTGCAATTAAAGTGCATTATTTTTATTAGCTGTTCTAAATGCGC